ACCAAGCCTCAAGCGCATGGAGGTCCAGTTGGATTTCCATTAGAGTATTGCTGAGGTTGGTAGGATGGAAGGAGTACACTATTTTGATGTCATCGGCGAAAAGATAAGGTGTGCCGCATTTAACTACGCTGAAGACGTCGTTAACGTAAAGTAGAAATAGCAATGGACCAAGAACACTGCCTTGTACCACCCCACTGGTAACAGCCTTGGGTTGAGATTTATGTTGTTGGATTTGTACTATCTGGGAGCGATCTGAGAGATATGAGCTAAACCAAGCCAGTAAGGGGTCCTTTATACCGTAGGTTTGGAGCTTAGCTAGTAGGCGACTATGAGGTACGCGATCGAAAGCTTTTTGCATGTCGAGATAGATGACGATTGCCGATAAGCCACGATCGTGTGAACTGACAAGGTGATTTAAAAATTCTAAGTGACAAGTGATGCAGGACCTGGAGTTCAGGAATCCATGCTGTGAATTGTTTACTAAGTTTCGAGTTAATAGGAATTCAAGCGTTTTCGACTTTACATGTCGCTCCATCATTTTAGACAATACTGATGTGTGACTAATCGGTCGGTAGTTTTTTACGTCGTACAGTGAACCTGATTTATGACGGGGCATCACTATGGCCTCCTTCCACTGAGCCGGTATGATACCAGAATTCATAGATAAGGTGAACATATTCAGTAGCAGCAAGGGGATGTCATCTCCCCCGAATTTTATGACAGCAGATGGGAGATTGTCCGGACCAGTGAAATAGGAGGTTTTAGTGGACTTTATGAGCTTTTGGATATCGCACAGATTGAATGTGATGTTGCTGAGTTGATCATTCGTGTGATGTTGCAGATCCAGGGTCGCAGGATCACTACATTCATTAAACGAGGCAGCAAAGTAGTTGTTGAACATTTCGCTGGTATAAGTCGGGTCACTCACTAAGCATTTATCTGCAGACATAAGCGAGATAACATCTAGGTTCTGTTTAGCGGTCTTGCGCTTAAGCAATCTGAATAGTTCCTGTTTTCTATTTTGGCTACCGAGTGCTTGCTTTTCTTTATCAATCAGCATGGCCTGATTGGCATTCTCCTTAATAGTAACCAATTGCTGGTGCTTTATTAAGAAACAGAAGTCATTGGATTTACGATACGCCTTGAGCAACTTTTTGAGCTTTACAGCTAATTTGTGTTGTGTAGGCCTTTCTCCAGAGGTAGGTAGTTTTATATGCTTTCGCGGAATCGACACATCTACTGACCGATGGATGATGTTATATAACTCATCTGCTGCAGTCTGAGGGTCGCTAGCGAAGAAGAATGTGTCCCACTGCGCCGATCTTATCAAGCTTGCAAAAATGCCCCAGTCAGCGGTTTTGTAGGAGCTGATAGTCATATGTGTTTTTGATGAGGGTGTTTTTGACAACTGAGCATTGACACTGAATGAGAAAGAGATCACTTTGTGATCACTACCGGGAAGATGTCCCAGTATCTCGGTGGAAGCTGCAGTGAAGCCGATAGTAAAAATCAAATCTAATATGTTATTCTTTCTAGTGGGAGATGAGACATGCTGAGTCCATCCACATACATGCACAGTGGCGATGAAGCTTTTAAACTTATTGGGGACGTCGTTAGAGGACCACGACAGATCAGGCATGTTGAAGTCCCCGCCTACTATCTTGCGATTCGCGGACTGGCACGCGAGATGGCATAAAACGCTCTGTAACGCGCTTATCTCAACGAGGTTAGGATTGGGCGGTAGGTAGATGCATCCGATAATGATGAGAAGATTATCAACTATAATGTCTATAAAAACGGAGTCTTCGAATCGTCCCTGTGTTTGGATAGGCGATACCGAAGCGTGAATAGCATTTCGAACATAGATGGCGCAGCCACCACCTAGACCAGACTTACGACAACCGATAAAAGCTTTGTAACCCGAGATATGGTAAACCGACTCAGGGGTATCCTCCTTTAGCCATGTTTCAGTGACCAATATAGCTAGTGGGTTCACGAGGGAGACAAGTGTTCTTAAGCTAATTATTTTGTTCCTGAGGGAACGTGCATTTATAAGTAGGACATGCATGGCATGTGTTTTATCAGCGAGTTCTAGTGCTTGCTTAAATAATGTTATAGATGTATTATCGGGGTCAGTGGACAGGAGTTCACTGCTTGGTTCGGAAGTATCAAGAGTGCTGGGATGGAGATCTGTGGACAGAGGAAGAGAGTGTAGGGATGAAGCAGTCGTGCCTACTGCTATGACGTTCTGAGATAAGGACAATGCATCCCTTGTGAGTTCTGTCGGAAGTTGGAGTAAGGAAGATGATGAGGCGCTGGGTGAAAGCTCTGGTTGGAATGATACTGAGCTAGCCGTGTCATCTGAATAAATTGTAGGAAGAGTTGGGCCATGAAGTTGGTATCGGCCGGATGTGCTATTGTTGGGAATGGCTGCGAAGCCATCCCCACATCTCCTAAAAAATGATCGAAGGAAACTGGTGGAGTATGGGTTCCAGCGTAGGTCTCAGGTGAGGCACTGGGCTGCATTGTCCAGTTTTTCCTACTGTCATTAATGTTTCGAGTATTATTGACAAATGCTGGATAGCGGTGCGTGGGTTTGTCCAGAAGATAATTCCTTCTGGTTTCAGTCTTACTAGTGTGGTAAGTAGTGTTTCTGGTCTGAGGTGTTTTGTTACAAGTGGCGTGGAAAGAATTCGAGGATCGTGAATTTGGTGAATCTTCGTAAGCACTCGTCATTACCGCGAATGAAATGTCGGTCTGTGACGGCACTTTGTTCCCGTTGGTTAGTAGGTCGCTTGTGCGTGTAGCTTGACTTTTACGACTGGTTCTTTTCTTGGTATTCGGGCCCTTGCTTACTGAATGTTCACCAGGCTGAGGTCTCGCCATAGGTGCGATATAGGGGGTATCCGATTCCATTAGGAAGCTAGCCTCGGTGTTAGAGGTGAAAGATTTTTTCACTGATCTTGACTGGGGCGTTGTGCCGGAGCCAGAAGCTAAGGCTATTGATGTTACCACGCCAGGAGATGCATTGTCGTTGTCTACTTCGACACAGCTAGTTGTTCTATCTAGTATACCATCATCCCGAGTTATTAACTGAAGAGTCGGACTGCATGTTGTCTCTGCTCTTGGTGTTTGTGGAGTAGGATCAGAAGGAGATCTTTCCAAAGGTGTCCGATCAGGTTTAACCAGTACGTCTTTGAATGGAGTATGCTGGGTTATGGCGAGCTGACTCTGCATGAAATGGTGTGCATGTTCTTCGAGAGAAAACTTAAAAAGTATGGGGCAACACCGTTTCGGTGTCTTCTTATTTAGTCGTAGACATTTGCATTCGACGTTAGTCATGTTGCAAGCGTTCATCAATGTAGCTCTTACTTTAGCCAAATTAAGTTTATCAGGGATATTGAAAACTATAGCATTTTTTAATCTACGCGTTCGTTCATGAGCCTCAGACGCGATACAGGAGATAAGCTGTCTTACTCTATTCATTTGAGCCGGATCTAGTTTTCCTGATGGGTTGCAGATATAATCTAAAGAGGCTATATGGTCTTTAAGCGGTCCGATATAGTCAAGCGTTTGTTTCATTTCAGTTAGTTGAAGTTCAAGAGATTTAATCTTATCATTCATTTGTTCAATGAGGCTGGCAACTGTGGGGGCAGTGTCTTGTTTTCCTCTCTGTGCTTTACTTTTTACTCGCGTTACTCGCGGAGTGGCCGGTACGCTAACTTTCGCTTGTCTCGAGCGATTATATCTTGTTGGAGTCATAGTAACTAGTTCCCGTCAATGACAGGGTTACGGAAAAGCGTGCTTAAGCGACGGGTTTGAAACAAGGACGATTAGCGTGCAGCGATGCGAGATAACTAATTCGGAAACGAATATGGAAGCACTGAGGAGAATGGGCCCTGGCTAAGTGGACACAAAACACATGCAGTTAGGGCTTACCGCTTTCAGGTCACGTGTTGGGTTCAGCCGCGCAGTCCAATGTTGCCAACGCGATGAGTCACAGGTGGACACAGTACACGCGCGGGGTTTGCGCGTCTTTATTGATCGGGTTGCGGCAAACGCGGCAACGCGTGATTTGGGTGGGTTTTGTGCGAAGTTGGCCTCGTACGGGTTTTAAGCGGTTCAGCTGTGACCGTATAAGTGGTGGTAATTTTCTTCAATATCTTCCTTACGCATCAGCCGATTGAGGTGAATGAGGGTTTATTAGAGAGCCCTCAGAATGCTCTTGAAAATGTGGCTAAAAGTAGCCTTGTTGATCTCGCAGGTAATGAATTTTCGCGCGTACGAGTTTTCCCGGAAACCACTCAGTGTAAGTAGATCAAGGAGGAAGAACGGTAAGGTGTATATCCAGGTGTTTAAGTGCGATTAAAAGCACTCGCTTGGCTGAATCGAATGAGTATTTGCGCTCAACTGTGAGACGAAATGTGTTTGCACAGTTAGATAAAGTGTAACAGAGCCAAATTTAGTGCGACCGCAACGCACACACGCCATCAACCTCTGCTTATTCAGGAACCCAAGTAATGCTCGTGGCTCTCTACCTCAAAAGCATGGTATTAATCCGGCCGAGATTCCGCGTCATGCGGGGTTCATCTGATTTATTTGGCAAGTTAATGGAAGCTCCTACGGTAATGGCTGACAACCGACCATGTTTCGTGATTACAACGGCTAAGAAAGTGGGAGCATTCTCGCCACGACTTCTAGTTGAAAATGGTGTTGCACAAAGGTGTGTTCATGCACCCACTGCAATGTCTCCTTCCAAGGAGTCTATTTTATTGATCGCATGCTCCCAGTCGGCATGTGGTAGATTGAGGTCAGTAACTAGTACAAAGCTTGGGGCTAAAGAAGCAGCTCGTTTTAACAGCTCGCTTAGTTCCTTGTCCTCTCCTCACGTCGAGGATGGGCTGCGGTAAACACAAACAATTAATTCGACCCTATCTCGCATTTGAAAAGAACTGAAAAGTGAAGGTGAGTCGGCTAGGAAAAAGGAAAGGTTTGCTGTTGCCACCCAAGAGCATCGAGCTGGCGCGCAAAACCCTTAACTGTAGGTTCCCTAACCACATGATCTGGAAGAGAATTCCAGCGATCTATAACTCGGCGCGATAGACGAGTTTCCGTCCTAATCCTATCAGACCGTGGTTTATGCAATTTCAGTGGGTGACCGCGGAGACTAGGTAACGTAGCGGGACTAAAAAGCCCTGACAAGTCCGGGCCAATCTTACCCGTCAAAATACGATAAGTGAGAATCAGGTCCCCCCTTATCCTTCGGTAGTGCATGGAGTACATACCCAAACTGAGCAAGCGTTCAGGATACGTCTGTCCCCGTAGACCCTGCACTAACCGAGTGCCCACTCGTAACACCCTCTCCAAGTCCATTTTGTCTCGGTTAAGACATGGTGGACAAGCCTGAATACAATATTCCAGGTGGGGTCGGACGAATGCCGAAAATAGCTTCACAAACAACTTGGCCGTTAAGATTCCGAAAGAGCGGCGGATAAACCACATCATACGAAACCCTCGACAAGCAGCCTTCTTCCAGTTGTCTCCAGAATGAAGTGCTGATGCATGTACGACTCCTAAATCAACCTGCTGAGTGACAACAGGGAGTTCACCACCGCCGACAACATATCGGGTGGCAGGATTTGCAGCTCCGATTCGGAGAACAGAGCACTTCGCCCTATTTATGGGCATCAACCATAAGATAGACCATTCCCAGAGCCTATCCAAGGCACGCTGAATTGCCTCAGGACCCCCCGGGATATCCACAATATTCCAGAGCTTAAGGTCGTCAGCAAACATTAATGATGACACCCCTAGCTCTCCCGGCAAGTCATTTACATAGATCGCGAACAACAATGGCCCCAATACCGAGCCCTGCGGAACGCCACTAAGGACAGCTTGCCTGAGCGAAAGGCTACGCCCCACCCGTACGCACTGTTCCCTCCCCTCAAGGAAGGCAGACACCCATTGAAGGGCGCGACCAGATATCCCGTAAGATCTCAACTTTAGTGAGAGCCGAAGATGTGGAACAGTGTCAAAAGCTTTCGAAAAATCTACGAATAGCACGTCTACAGCGTGGCCACTGTCTACCGCTTCGGCCCAGCTTTCACGAGCTACAAGTAAATTAGTCTGACATGAAAATCCTTTGCGGAATCCATGTTGTGCAACACTGAGAAGGTTGAATCGATTCAGGTGGTTCTCCACTGAATCCCTTATCAGCTTCTCGAACAACTTGACTACTACGCTTGTCAAACTGACAGGCCGGTAGTTCGCGGGTAGAGCGCTGTCACCGCCCTTAAAAATCGGACAGATGATCGCCTCCTTCCATTCCGAAGGTAGGCTGCAGCTGTACAGCGATATTAAAAATACGCACGTGAGCGGACCACTCAGCTCAGTGGCCAGTTCATGCAACAGCTTCGGATGAATTGAATCAGGACCGGAAGCTTTAGAGGGATTAATGCCTTGCAGTAGCTCGAAGACCTGAGTCTCCGTTATGCTAAATTCAGCTAAGCAAGAATCCTCTGGAACTCTTGAAACCAATTCAACCTGTGGTAAAGAGGTCTCCCGAGCAAAGACCCCAGTATACTGATCACTCAGTATTAAAGCCTTGTCATAGTCAGTTTGCGCACGGGTCCCGTCTGCTCGCAATAAAGCTGGTATAGACAGTTTTGCCCCGCTGCGTCTTTTAACGTAAGCAAAAAACTTCTTGGGATTAGCTGCGGCCGAGTCCGCTAAACCCTGCTCGTATTGGAGACGAGCAGTTCTGAGATGTTGCTTACATTTATTTCTATTCTCTCGATAACTATCATAGGTACTGGCTGATGGAGCTGCTTGGTAGGTTCGCCAGCATCTAGACCGTTTCTTGAGTAGGAACTTGCCTGTGGTATCTATCCATGGAGGCTGTGCCCTTAACCCTCTTTTCCTCATGAGTGGAATATAGGGAGTGGAAACCTCCGTAAGGTATGCCTTAAATTTATCCCAGGCTAACTGGACAGAGTCAGCCATCGAGATCTCACAGTTCAGAACTGAAGCCTTAGTTCGCATTGCACTAAAGTCCGCCCGCCAAATATTCGGAAGTAATTCAACAGCGGTCTCTTGGTGCCTTGAAAGAGCACATCGAAAGGATATGCATGCGTGATCGCTAGACCCTAGAGGTGCACCGCATGAAACGTCAGTCACGAAGTCCAGGGACTTAGCGAAAACCAAATCCAAAGTAGATGGTATTTGGTTGTCCATATACCTAGTGGGAAAGTCAACGAACTGGTGCAAAGGCACTTGGAGAGTCAGTTCAAGGAAGTCTGCACCGAATGTTCCTAATGCCGAATTGCAAGAAAGATCGGCCCAACAGACTTCCGGGAGGTTGAAATCCCCTAGAACTAAACACTTATTCGCAGACTGAGTGCGAATAAAGTCAAGTATCCCCCTGGAGGAACTTCCAGGACTTCTGTATATCACTATAACTGTAAACTGGGTAGAGGAAGTGCACAAAACAGCCGATAGGGCTTCAACAGTCTGATCCGACGACTGGAATGTGCAAGTCCTCAACACATCTAAGTTACAGCTCACATACAGTACAACGCCTCCGCCTTGGCGACCAACGGAGCGATCAGTTCTAAGCAGCGCGTAGCCAGGTAAATATACCTCACCGTCCGTGATATCCGGAGACAACCACGTCTCAGTGAAAGCAAGTATGTCGGGACGAGATTTGTCTACAAGTAGACCCAACTCGTGCACCTTGTTCCTTAGGCTACGCACGTTGCTAAGTACTACCTCAAGGAAGTCGGCACGACCATCCCTGGGTCGTGCGCCATCAGGATTGGTTCTGATAGGGCGGAAAGTAACTTCCGGCTGACCACCTGAAAACCCACCAGACGGAGGCCTTGCTCACCAGCCGCCCGTCTAGTTTTGAGGTCTTTGATAGCCTCCTTTAACTTCAACCTATCTGCCAGTGGTAGGTCCGGCTGAACGCTGACACCACTACCCTTAAGTTTGAATGCAAATCGCAGTAACGATTTGCGTTCCTCCGGGGTAGAAAGGACTACGCGAAGTAGTCGGGGTCGTGGATTTGGCGCAGCGACGGGAACGTTCCCCAATCTGGTCAGCTTTCTGACAGTGACACCAGGGAAACCAGGTGGAAGCAGCTTGCTGACACACAGTTTCAGCCACTTGATGTCATCCAAGATGCGTTCCCTTGGGAGAACGGCCTCAGATTCAGTAACGTTACGGAATATAACGCTACTATCAGTGAAAGAGTCGGCACGACGGGGAGTGTTTACCCCACGTGCCTTGGAGTCGACACCTGTACCAGCTGTTTTCACCACTGGCGGTGGGACTGTCCCTGGCTTCCCAAACGACGCCGAAGCAACGGTAGCGTAGGTTTTCCGCTCTATTGCCGGCGTCTTACTGGTTCCTGGGTCTTCAAGCCCCTTCGAAGTTTTACGAGCAGATCTTGTCCGCTTCTTCTTTTGGCTCACTGGAGCAGGGGCCGTTGACTTTGTAACGCATTGAGCAGTTACCAGCATTTCGTCAGAACAGGCTGGTTCACTGGCGGCCGAGACAGTCAGCGTCTGTGGAAAGTTCTGTGTGCAATCGTCAGACGAGTTTATGACTGTCAAAGACGGCATCTCTTTCGATGCCGTGGCAACTATTTCTCTGGGTTTAGCAGAGGGCTTTTGGTGTTTCCGCACCCTATTTTTCTTCACTTTGATCGGATCATGAGGACCGCCAGCAATGCTACCTGGATTGGCCGGTAGGATGTGCGACTTTATGACCGATTGACAGACTCCAGTGGATGGATCGTCAGCAATGTTGCCGGCTATTGCTGTGTCTTCAAACGAAATATTTAGGGATTTTAAAATCAAATCCATTTTCGTATCGAGCGAAGCAATAGAGGCGAGTTTAGCTATCGCCAACTCAACATCTGCCAACCTTGAAGCCAACGCTGAAAGTTTAGCACCGGTGACAGCCAGGCGCGTCGATCTTTTAGCGCAGCATTCAGCACAGCTGAAAAGAAAGTGGACGCTTGATGATAGCATTTTGTACTGATCAGCTTGTAGGCCGGTACAGCTTTCGTGATACCAGCGGCAGCAGACGTCACACTGCATACCACCAGATGCATCTGTTACTAGCTCTGAACAGTTAACCTGTCCGCAAGCTGCAGTAGAATCATCAAACGAGGACCCCATAGGTCCATCCGTCTCGGTGTTTAGCGAGACAGCCATGTTCATGTGGGAAACAGATTAGAATTACAACACGTATACAATAGGAAAACGACCGCAATAAAAAGACAAAAACAGGGTGCAAAACGGGATTAAAACTGGGAACAACCGGAAAAATTACCAGTAAGCGCCAAAGACGCTTTGGCCAGTACCAATTTAATCGATCCAAGATATCTTGGATAAGAGAAAATTTGACAAAAGTCAAATTTCGTTTCAAGTGTTTATTCAAACACTGTTTTCCACGTTATTTCAGCTGAAAAGCTCGATCAGAATGGCGCGCCAAAAAACCGAGTTACCGCGTAGTACTCACAGAGACGGTGGGTTCGTATGGTTCTGGAGGTTGAGCTGCGTTTCTCCATAGGCGTATGAGTTCGATGGAGGTTTTGATAAATAGGTTGTGCACGCAAATATCGGATATTGTGATCATTCTCCGTGTGAAGCAGTGGGCAGTGACTTTATTTCGGTGGCAAGTCAAATCCGCCACGCCGCGGTGTCGTTAAACAGATATTTGTGGCTTTTATAGGGTGAACGCTTGCCAAGCGAAAACTCACCACTTCCTGGAACACTGCTATTGACCACAGTGAAAATAACATTGTGGTACTTGTAACGGTTTTGTAGGACCGATTTCCCGAACGGTTTAGCGCGGTCATGTTACACCCGATTTTCCGTTGGCTCAGCGGAAGTCTTAGTCAGGATTTATCAGTAACGACTGGGGACGGCGGTACTGTTCGGAGATTGCCCTTGTAAATTGGGGTGCTGCGTCATACAGGGGAGTATGGAACTCAAATTATAAGCAGTATCATTGTCCGAGTAAATAACCCACGGGCCATGTGTGTGTGACAGGTTGGTCCAGGAGAGATATCCGTCGCAGCTACGTGAGACGCTTGCGTGAAGAGGGTGTTTCAAGCGGTTGAGGCGCTAGCAGTGGTCTTTGGAATCAAGTACGGCCGAGCGCAGTGGTCTAGACCACAGACAATATACATATGAAAGGTATAAAATATGCATACCACACCGGCGAGGTGGGTGCAGTATACATTGCATAATGGCGACAAGTCGATGAGGATTCTGATACCAGAAAGAAATAATCCATTAGCGAGGTGGACGGAGCATACCGCGATAGAATTGCAAGTAAGTTGAAAGCTTGCAAGAAAATGAAATTGATTTTCAAGTGATGTTCCGAAAGCGATAATGCGCAGATCAAAATTGTTCAGACCCATAGAGGATACTGTAGGAGGTGGACGTTGTGCAGTCTATGAAGCTAGGTAAGGCTGTCTGAGAATCGTCGCCGCTTGGCTGTGCGATGGACAGCATTTGACGCAAATGTATGACAGGGTGGCTGCTCGGCGCATTAAAAGCCGTTAATTTCTGCGCATGCCTGTTTTACGTGAAACATAGATAAGATACTTAACAACCAAACAACACACTATAGAAGAATTGGACGCAGTTAGACGGTAAACGATAGCAGACGTATGGTGAAGGCGACAGAAGTAGCTTCAGTATCCGCGATGTGAACAAATGCTAGTTATTTTAGTAAATGATAACAAAAGATGATGCATGTTTCGGTCAACTTGTTGGAGTACTAATAAGGTTAATGATTTTTATTTCCCCTTAAATAACATTTCAAATGAATGTATTGAAAATTAACATATGATTTCCGAAGCCCAAACCTTAACCTCAATCAACTCACTGAGCTGCTTTTGACGCCTTTTCGGGAGTAAATTAGTCTTCCTTTGCTAGTAGGGGGTGGCACAATACCTGTACACAGATTGTGATACATGTATATGAGTGTGGGTGTGAGCTGCAGACTTTACGTTTTGAGGACGTGTTTATTACAGTCGGCAGACAAAATGCTTGATGCTTTGTCGGCTGTGCTTAGGATATCCTCGGCTCAGGTTACAGTTGTATTGGTGGATAGAATCCCTGGGAGCGTATCCAAATCGGTGGTTGACTTTATGCTCTCCCAGTTCGCTAACAGGTGTGTGGTGATGGGCGGTTTCGACCTTCCCGAGGTTTTCTGGACCGACCTTGCTTGCAACTCAGCGTCAGGCAACTCCGGCCCTGATTTACATGAGCTTACACTTCAAGTACTGTTGCCTCAGTTCATTGACCTCTCTACTAGATACATGGACGCCCAAGTACCGTCTATCTTAGACCTTGTATTTGCTGTCACTGGATTTTGTTGGTGAGAGGGCTTACGGATCTACACTGGGTTCCATTGATCATGTTTTTGCTCTTCAGTTATACGCTGGCCGCTTCCATTCCCACAAGAGCATATGTCGCGCAGACTATAAATTAATAAGAGCCAAGAATTCGGGTTTCCCTTAAGACCTCAAGCGATGGTATTGTCCGGGTTGTCTGGGATAAAGTTAAGTCTTACCGCGCAAAGGTCCTTGCCCCCTTCATCCCAAGCACAAGGAGAAAATAGGCACGAGCAAAGCCCCTCTGGATGGATTCCACTAGCAGCGTCGGCTCACAGAGGTCTTAGCGCTGGCGGACTTACCAAGATGTTCCATCCCTTGATACTTAGGACAGGTAGCGTAAGGCTAGAAATAGGAATGCAACGCCTAAGGATTGTTTGGCTCAAGTGCGATGAAGGGTTAACAGATGAAGCTTCAGAGTCCGAAAAATTTCTTCGCGTATGTCGAAAGGCGCTGCGGTTCGAACATGTCAAATTCAGTGTTGATGCGTGACGACGGTGCTCACGCTCTTACGGACTATGACAATGACTGCTTACTTAACGGGCAACCTGCAGCAGCGTTTGTAAGGGAATCCTCTTTGGCAGGCTTTGAGCTGGTTTGCGGGATTCCAGAAGATTGGGAACGTTCTGAGTTTATTGCAGCGGAGACGGAAGTTTGTAGGCTGTTAAAAGGTATGGACTGTTCTAAGGCATCTGGGCCTAATTTACTTCACCAGAAACTGTTACTTTGGAAAATTGTATTTAATGGGAATAATAGCTCGAGCTTTATATGACCCATAGGATAAAAATGGTTCGGGTCTAGTCTGATGAAAGGCCTAGCAAATTTATAGCCGATTGGACTCGCGTGTTAGCCTTACCTTCAGCTGGCTTACGCAGCATTTAAACGGAATGCACGCCGGCTCAAATCCTGAAGTCCCACCACGCCCTCCAAAACGGCTACTGGAAGGAGGTAG